AGAGTGAAACTAAACAGAGAATACAGATTTTATTACCATGACATTGTCATTCAAAATTCCTCCACCCTTCCAAGACAAGACCTTCCCTGCAAAACAATAAGATATATTAATTAAGAGTTTAACCAGACACCATAATCACTTCTCAAAGATTAATCTGCATGATATTGTTCTACTTTGCCTGTTTGTGCATCATAATTTGTATCCTTATCAACTAAACTATTTACACAATTGCAGGGTATTAAGCATATCACTCAGGGCCCGTATGGTAGAAGATAAAAAGTAAAAGAATTACCTTTGGAGTAATTGTTTGGATAAAACTTTTGAACGAGCTACTTAATACATAACGAGTTTTTCTTTATGTCACTCATTAATAAAAAGGTAAATATAAATAAAAATATTTCTTCAAAACTCAAATAATTTTCTGTAATTTTGTGAAAGCTCCTTCTAGAGGAGCCATGTAGTTTGGCTTCCTTCTGGAAGAGCTACCTGCAATAGCTGCTAATGATTATTCTTCTCTCTAAATTCTCTCTCATCTTGGTCCTATATCATAATGATTATCGAGTACAAATAATAACAAAGAATGTGGCGATTGAGCTTGGAGGTCCTCAAATACTAATAAGATTGCTGATAAGGATGCTTTACCAAAGGGTTGGACAAGCTGCTGCGATATGGTGGCGACAGGAACCCTCCAAAACCAGCATATTAGCACAAGATAAGTTAAAACCTAAATGGTACAATGAAAAGTACGGGGCCATAAGGACGTAGATGAAGAAAGCAAGTAAACTCCACAGAAATAAAAATACAAATAAAAAGTGATTTCCAAAAATGGATCTTTATGCAAACAAAAATACCTTTGATATGAAAAGTACTCTCATATACAAATCACATGATACTTTCATCTCTGTCTTATGTGATTCTTGATCTAAAAAGAAGTTAAATGTTAGAATTTTCATCAATCCATCTGTTGGGAACTTTAAAGGAAGTAGAAGAGAAGGACCTAATAGACTAACAGAAGCTGCACAAAAACAAGAGTTACACAGATTCCATGAAAGATATGGGAGAAAAAAAAAAGAACCTGCGAAGTAGAACTAAACAATACTATTAAGAACACACACACACACACAGAGCGAATATATCTTGTTTTAGCTCAATTCATGTTCTTTCAAATCATGGGTTTGCTTGATGGCTCGAAGGCCTCTAGGCTCCATTTGGCATTCAAAAAGTATAAAACATAAATACACCCATAATTGTGTATATGTATATTGCTAGCTAAATAAAGCAAGTGGGAGGATAAAATCAAGAAAGCCCACCACTATTGCTGTACCAGTAGCATTAACTTAAGTCAATTGAATTGGTTATTATCGTACACCTTACAAATTTAAAACCTATAACGGCCATTCAACTACACTTGCTTCTAAAACTGAACTACTTTGTGCTATCCATCAACATTAGTAATGCAATCACCACAGATATAGTAGCATATCATAGCTTCCGCAAAATAGATGAGACCTAATTGTTATCTCATATTATCTCCAATTGCTATCTTCTTAATAATTTAGTCCAATGCAATTATATTAAGACAACAATAGTATAGTACGTATTCTGCTATTTATCGAACATTGGGATTTATAGGGCACATCAAATCAAATCATAATAGATCTTAGATTGAGTTGTTGTTACACTATGGCAGGCAAAAAGAAAAAGTAAACGAAAAAGTATAATCAAACTGACAATTTGCTAGCTCTTTCTCCTTAGCAGCAGCTACCCTCCTAAGCTTCGCAGCCTGTGCAAACGTTGATGGCCTACGCACAATCAACATCAGAAACAAAAGCAACCAATAATTATTCAAAAAACTCCACCATTGATGAGGATAATAATTGCACTAATTATTTATTTATTTGTTATTAGCGAATATAATAAATAACTCACTGCGAAAAACTGCTCGCCTCTTTCAAGAGCTGGTTGATTTCTCCACGCAACTGGATCTCCATAGCACTCTTCGATCCTTTCTTCTGAGAAGAGAAAACCGAAAATTGATTCTCCAATTGTTTGGATTATTATAAGATCAGAATCGATTCATTAAAGAATCTTACCTTCTTTAAGGATTCGAGCCACCTGGAAAGAAATTGGAAAGCAATTACGATGGAGAATATCAGAGTCGGAGCGAGCGACCCTCGACGTGGCTCTAGAGTTTCGGCTATATCGCCCATATCCGTGTCTTCCTTCGCAATCTCCGATGATGATGCTTCTTCTGCGAATTTCTTTCGGTTCCTCTTCTCTTCAATGGCAGATCAGTTGCGGCGGATGGATCATCCGTAACATTGAGGACAAATTGGACAAAGTAGTTCGCTTATTAAAAATAAAATTGTTATAACGATTTGGTCCTCAATCTTTCTAATTTTAACAATTAAGTCCCTCAACTCTTGATTTAGTAGCAAATAAAAATATAGTCCAATTACTAACCGCTGTCAAAATTTGACGGAAAGTGCACTTGCCTTTTGCAAGACGTTGGATGAGAGGACTAAATTAACACACGTGAGGCAGATTTTTAGAGGGTGTTTAGAACTCATTTTAAAATAATTTTTGGCGCGTTTAAAATTTATTTTAAAATGATTTTATTTTTATATGCAAATGAAAATGAAAATATTTTCAATCTCAGATAAAATAAAAATGTATTTGGTAATTTTATCAAGAGATTATTTTCAGTTTAAAAATTCATTAATGTATCTCTTTCTCTATCTTTGCTTGAAAGAGGAGAAAACGAAAACAAAAAATAAAAAATAATTAAAAGTCATTGTTCATTTCTCTCTCATTTTACACTAAATCAAAAAATCGTTTTCATTTCTGTTTTTTGTCTTTATTGCGTCAAACGCCGTTTTAGAAACGTTTTCATTTTTTATTTCTCGAAAAACGTGAAAAATAAAAATGGGATCGATTCCAAACACGGCCTTTGTTTTTTTGTATGTAACTAAAAATGAAAATGTTTTTAATCTTAGACAAAAATTATTTTTAAAATATAAAAAAAAAAACTCATTAATGTATCTCTCTCTCTGCTCGAGGAGGAGAAAACGAAAACAAAAAATGAAAAATGACTAAAAGTTATTTTTCATTTTTCTCTCATTTTACACTAAACCAAAAAATCGTTTTCATTTCCTTTTTTATTTTTATTGCGTCAAACGTCGTTTTGGAAACATTTTCATTTTTTCTTTCTAAAGAAACGTAAAAAATAAAAATAGGATCAATTCCAAACACGCCCTACTCTTTTCCATGAGATTGGCAGTTAGAAATATGACTAAATTTGATACTTAATCAATAATTGAGGGATTGAATTGTCAAAATTAAAAGATCGAGGACTGAATTGTCAAAATTAAAAGATCGATGACCAAATCGTCACTAACTAAATAGTTGAGGACTATTTATGGCAATTACTTTTAAATAAATAGATAAACTTTTATTTATTTATTTGCAAAATAACCCCAAACTCAAACTTTCAATTTTGATAATTTACACACGAACTTTTAAATCAATATCAATTATGATCCAATAGGATGAGTGTTGTCAAATTGATAGTTTAAGACCACAGTAGATTGGTGTAGCGTTAAGGATTATGTTATTTTTTCTATTATCAATATGGGTTTGATTCTCTATAACCCTACTTTAAGACCCATATTTGGGCATCGTGTTGTGCGGAGTTGGGTATGTGGTGGCATGAGTAAAAACTATGTCCATTATTTGAGCATAATTTAGTCATGTTATTCTCGTTCCATTGGTGGCCCCGATATATCCTAAGTGACAAAGGGGATGGGGTGCAATGACACCAATTATTCCCCTTCTTTCATGAGTAAAAAAAAAAGTTTGAAAAATGAGATTCACACATGTAAGAAAAAACTCGTCATTTTTCAAATCAAATCACATATGAATCTCATTTACTCAACTATCAATTTGATAAAACCAATTAGTTATCGGACTTCAATTACTAGTGATTTAAAAATTCAATGTGCAATTTGTCAAAATCGAAAGTTACGTTCGAATAGCTGACTCCATCACTGTCACTCATCATCATTGAAAAGCCACCTTTATTGTCGTCACAACTACAATGTTCACCATGCGAGATTTGTATCAAAACAATCTTGTCGCGACTAGATCAAGTCATTAGAACCAGATCTCATGAAGTCGTAACTCCTTGATGATTGGAATGACGAATCTCACTGTAGACGATCTAGATATGTCAAGATTTCAAGGAAGATAGATACCCGCCAAACATAGTGACATTGATCTCATGACGTAGAACTAGATCTCATGGTGACACTAGAAAATGAGAGATGGGAGAGAATGTGGTGTCACCCCTAGTGGCGTGGACTTCATCGAGCTCTCATCGCTGACACGATTAAAGAGAGAAAAAGGATAGAGCATTAATTAAATAAGGACAATGTATTGAGAGAACGAGTGGAGAGAGAAAATGAAGATATAAAGAAAAGGCTAAAGTTTATTTTAAGGTTTGGATATGAGAAAAATAATATTTTATATAAGGGTATTTTAGTCTTTTAAATTTATACTTAAAATAGGGGAGAAAAGTTAAATGAGTAGCTTGCAAATAAAATATAAAATTCATGCATTTAAATTTTATTTATTTTTTATTTTTGTGGCTGAGAATGCATTTAAAAGTTAAGTTTGATTCAAACATAGCTAATTGGGAAAGTGGATAGTGTTTTTCTCACTAAAATTTAAATATTGGGTTTAAAGCCATAAAATAAAGGGACCAACAGATTTAGAGAATATAGATTAACTCACCCTTTAAATGTATTGATCTAAGATTTTTATATTTTATTCGTCATTCATACCCTTTTCACTAATATAATTCATTGATTAAGGGTATAATCAAGTGTAAGAGGTAATAATTGAAGACCTATGCATTGTCAAGTGCCTATTGTTCTTGCAAATTTATTCAAGGGAGATTGAGGGAAATAGGCCAATATATGAGAGGAATTAAAATTAATAGACTAATATTTAATAAAAGTTAATAAATAGGCCAAAGTGATGTAAAGCTGGATTTACAACCAGCTAAAAGTTCAAAAATGCCCTTATGGTAAATCCTGGATTTATTATTTATATTCGAGATTTACCATTAGATTTTTCACTTTTTTCTACTAATATGAGCTCAGTAAATCCCAGATTACTAGGTATATATGGGATTTAACATTAGAATTTGTAGTGTTCTTTTCCCCTACTAATATGAACTTGGTAAATATAGGATTTATCAAGTATATCTGAGATTTATCATTATATTTTAACTTTTTACATATTAATACGAATTTGGTAAATCCTGGATTTACTAGGTATTTCGGGATTTATTATTAGATTTTTCACTTTTTGTCCAGTAATACGAATTTGGTAAGTTCGAGATTTACATAGTTTTCTCTTTTTCTCTCATAATATGAACTTAATAAATCGAGAATATACCAAAAGTATATTCAGGATTTACTATTAGAATTTTCACTTTTCCCTACTAATAAGAACTTAGCAAATCCCATAATTCAAGATTTATGATTAGAATTTGTATTGTTTTTTTTTTCTTCATACTAATACGAACTTGGTAAATCTATGATTTATTAGGTATATCTGAGATTTACTATTAGATTTTTTATTTTTTTCGTACTAATATAACTTAAAAAATCCTAGATATGTTAGTATATTTAAGATTTACCATTAGAATTTGTACATTTTTTCTCTAGTAATATGAACTTGGTAAATCATAAATTTACCAAGTATATTCAGGATTTACCATTAGAATTATACTATTTTTTTTTTCAAGTGATTTTAACTTAATAAATTATGGGTATACCTGAATTTACTAAATAAAAGAGAAAAAAGTAAAATTGAAAAATTAAAAATTAAAAACATGAAATGGTTTATTCATTTTTAGAAGTACTCACACTATATAGCAAAATTTCATACATTGAATTGAAATTTAAAAAAATTAAAAAATATTATAAATATAACAAAAATGACATAGTAATTATAATGATATCATATTTTATATTATATAATGATATAGTCATTATTTTAATAACATAAAAATAGTATAAAATTTTACTTTTCTCGTAATATTTCAAAATTTTTGTTAAATTTAAATTTTGATATCAAAATTTTACTGCAAGTGTAAATCACCCTAATTTTGTATATTGAAATAAAATAAATAATAAATGAAAAAAATAAAGAATTTACTTTTAAAAGTATATGAGTTTTTGGACCTTTATTCTTTATTTAATTAAAAAATTGTAAATTAAGAATGAAAGACTAAAAATTTTAACTCATACAATTTAAAGAAGTAAGATTACGCTTGATAAATGTAGCGTGGCAGGCCTTCCTACAATTTCTCCGCCCAAGTTCTCTCCGTTATCCAAGGCCCATCTGGAAATAAGCCCAATTGGCAACTCACCGCCATTTCCATATCCATATCTTTCATTTACACACTACAGTTTTCCCCTTTTCCCCTAATTTTAAAGCCCCGTCCTCATCCCCTGCCCTTCCCTCGGACCAGAGTCACAGTCTCTCTCGTTCTACGGCGAATACAACACGAAAATTACAAAAACCCGTCATATATACACACACACACACACACTAACATATATAGATAATATATATCCCTTGTTCTAGGGTTCTTTGATTGCTATCATAGGGCGCTAAAGCTCGCATTTTGCGAAACCCGTGAAGTTCCCGAATTCAGATTCGCTGAGCAGAACAGCCATGCCGCTCCGCCGGAGAGACGAGGACGACGACGAAATGGAGCCGGAGGACGACGAGGATTACGGCGAGGAGCGGGAGCAAGCCCTAGACGATGAGGAATTGGAGGCGGAGGAGGAGGAAGAAGAAGAAGATGAGCGAAGAGGCGGTTCGAACAGGAAGCGGAGGAGATCGGATTTCATCGACGACGTGGCGGAGGAGGACGACGAAGAGGAGGAGGACGACGATGAGGACGATTATGGTGGGGGCCGCAGAGGAGGAGGTGGCGGGCGGCGCAACAAGAAGCCCTCGGGGTCTCAGTTTTTCGATCTCGAGGCAGAGGTCGACAGTGACGAGGATGAAGATGAGGATGAGGGCGAGGATGGTAAGCGTTTCGGTTGATTCGTTTGTTTCTTTTGCTAAGTTTCATAATTTGGTTCCTTCTAGGTTTGCGATTTCTTGGATTGTGTTCTTCATAGAATTGGGGTTAGAGGGTGATTGGTAGTTTTCTTAAGGATTAACTATTGGTTGCAGACGCTGTTTGTTCTGGAAAAGATTTGAGTTTTAACACTAGTCGGTTTATTTGAGGATTTAGGGACCTGAATTTGGAAATTATTAGGTGTTCTGTTTTTGCGTGAATGATTTATATGGTCACATAATTTCGTTCGGACTTCAATCAGCTGAAAATTTTAATTTAGAACTGAAAATTGACACGAACCATTTCGTGGATGATATTATGCAGTCGATTACTTTTTCTTTTATCAATTTCATAATTTGATTTATTTTCGGTCTATGGGTAGGTTTATTCATCTTGGGTGGTGTTTTGGATTGGATTTTAATGTATTTTCAATGGGGGTTCCTTAGATGGTGCGTTGGCAACACGGTTTGGGACTGGATATTGTTCACAAAGCAAATTGCATTGGTTGTTCTGGAGAAGGCGTGCATTATAACCATTGTTTTTTCGTTGGTGATTTAGGGACGTAAACATGGAAGCTATATTAGTGTATGTTACATTAATTTGGTGGGGTTTTCAATGAGTTCTTTTGAGGTTCTGAGAACTTTAGAATTGGAATAGTCGAATAGAAATCGGCTACTTTGCAAGTAATTACTTTGCCCATGGTAGATGGCAATTTAGGGAATTTTGCAAATAAGTTCACAGAGGTTTTATAAATGTCTTGCAATCTGTGAGGTGTTTGATTTATTCTCGTTTTATTCCTCTGTTATGTTATGCTTTCTTTGTCTACTAAAAGTATTATGCCATTCATATAAGTATCTTCCGAATAAGAACTCTTCAGTATGCAGGAAGGACTTCCTGGTTTTACTTGGAAATGTTCCCTTATTTATTTATTTATTTTATTGTCATATTTATATGGGTGTTTGACAAATCATCTAAGCTTTCGTAGGTTGCATTTGGGGGGTTTATTTGTTTGAAAAACTATATATAGTTTCTGCATAATTGCTCTTAGCCTATTGTGCTTTACTTTTAAGTTAATTTTGGCAGCTAGTTTATTTAAATATATGTTTTTTCAAAATGTCAAGGCAAACCCTTAATTACAATGCATTTAGCTTTTATTGATATTATGGTCCCAATTTTTTATTCAGTTTTGTTATTGCTATTATTTTTGAGTTTTCTGGGTCAAGATATATAATGTGGATACACTTTTTTCTTCTCTTCCCTTTTGCTAAAAACATAATAGTATTGATAGTCAATACGTTATCGACTATCTAGTCATGGAATTTAATGGACAGAATGAAGATCTACCCCTGAGAGTGTATTAGAAATGGGAGAAATAGATCTACATGTATCTCTGTCTGTTCCGACACTAGGGTCTTGTGTCTCATGTGTCGTATTTTGTTTTCATCTCTTGCTTAACAAATATTTTTTTGGGGTGTTTCTCCTATATGCTTACGGTCTATCTTACTATCTTTTCACTGATTCGTACTGAGGCTGTGGTTTGATTGATAAACTAATAAGATCTGCTTACAGACTTCATAGATAGAGATGACGTGGCTGAGGAAGATGATGATAGAAGGATGCACCGTCGCCCATTGCTTCCACGGGAGGATGACCAAGAAGATGTTGAAGCTCTTGAGAGAAGAATTCAGGAAAGATACGCAAGGTCTAGTCATACAGAGTATGATGAGGAGACCACAGATGTAGACCAGCAAGCTCTTCTTCCATCTGTTAGAGATCCAAAGTTGTGGATGGTGAAATGTGCGGTATGATTATTACTCTCAGTACTTTGTTCCAGATTTAAGTATATAAACCTGCCTAGTGGGTTTGTTTTGGAATATTATTGTATTGATGATTGACGTATTTCAGATTGGTAAAGAGCGAGAGGTTGCTGCTTGCTTAATGCAAAAGTTCATTGATAAAGGATCTGAACTGCAAATAAAATCTGTTATTGCTCTGGATCATCTGAAGAACTATATCTATATAGAAGCAGACAGAGAAGCCCATGCGAAGGAGGTATATTGTTTTTGTGAAAATATATTTGTTTTTGTATGCTTAATGTTGATTCCGTTTGACTAAAGGTTAATGTAAAAGTGTGGAAATTCTTTTTTTTTTTTTTTTTGTGGGGCGGGAAGGTTCGCGTTCAGACATGTGAGATGAATGCTGCATGGTTAAATTGTAACTTAATGTTTTGCTTTTGCTTCAGGCTTGCAAAGGTCTACGCAACATATATGCCCAGAAAGTAATGCTTGTTCCCATTAGAGAAATGACAGAGGTTCTTTCAGTTGAAAGCAAAGCAATAGATCTTTCTAGGGATACTTGGGTCAGGATGAAAATTGGAACGTATAAAGGAGACCTTGCAAAAGTATGGATCATTTTTTTTTTTTTTTGGTTCCTTATGTTGTTAGTTTCCGAGCTCTTTCACCTTCATTTCTTCAAAGGTCTCTTATCACTTTCAAGCTTTGTTTCTGCAGGTAGTTGACGTGGATGATGTAAGGCAGCGAGTTACAGTGAAGTTAATTCCAAGGATAGACTTGCAGGCTCTTGCAAATAAATTGGTAAAGTCTTTAACCTGTTTCCTGACATTCTTTGTTTATTCACTACTTATTAAGTTGAGGCAGTGTTTTCTTTACGTCTGGGAAGGGAAAAAGTTTCTTATACATTGGTTGTAAATCTTTGTAATACTATTGTGTTTGGTTTGGCAAATTGATAGTATGATTAGTCGTTTTATTTGATCATTTCTGCTCCCCTTTTTGTGTGTCTTTGATTCTATGATTATTGATGCCCGACTAATTGTCAAGATAATTCCTTTGTTAACAGGAGGGTAGAGAAGTTGTAAAAAAGAAGGCATTTGTTCCTCCTCCACGTTTTATGAATATAGATGAGGCTAGGTAATTCTGAATGTAAAAATTATTTCATTTGAGTTACTGTTAATGCATGTCTAGAGTAACTTTTTCTCATGTTTGTGTTTATTCAGAGAGCTGCACATTAGGGTGGAGCGCAGACGAGATCCGATGACGGGTGATTACTTTGAGAATATTGGTGGCATGTTGTTTAAGGATGGTTTCCTATATAAAACAGTATCAATGAAATCTATTAGTGCTCAAAATATAAAACCCACCTTTGACGAGCTTGAAAAATTCCGGAAACCTGGTGAGAATGGCGATGGAGATTTAGCTAGTCTGTCCACTTTATTTGCAAACAGAAAAAAGGGCCACTTTATGAAGGGTGATGCAGTTATCGTTGTTAAGGGTGATCTCAAAAATTTGAAAGGATGGGTTGAGAAAGTGGAGGAAGAAAATGTTCATATTAGGCCAGAAATGGAAGACCTTCCAGTAAGAATATCTATTCATTTTTATTTTTGTATTTTTTCATAAATTGATTCCCTCTTAATATTCAATTCCCTTGCTCGTAGTGTACAAAGAAGTTGTAATATTGTTAGTGTTTATCATTGTAGAAAACTCTAGCTGTTCATGAGAAAGAGCTTTGCAAGTACTTTGAACCTGGGAACCATGTGAAAGTTGTATCTGGTACTCAAGAAGGTGCAACTGGTATGGTTGTTAAGGTCGATCAGCATGTGCTCATTATATTATCTGATACAACAAAGGAGGATGTGAGTGGTTTATAATATTTATATTTCATTTCATTTCATTTTTATTTTGAAGTTTTGTAGGGGCAACATCTGGGCTTGAGACTAACATTATTTTTCTAGAAAAGCATTGTGCTTATGTTTGTTTACTCCTTACAGATCCGTGTATTTGCTGATGATGTTGTGGAGAGCTCTGAGGTGACAACTGGTGTCACAAGAATTGGGGATTATGAACTTCATGATCTTGTCTTACTGGAGTAATTTAATTTTCCTTTTTTCTGTTTTGGTTTATACCAGGACTCTTTCTTTTTGATTCTTTTCTACTCATTGTTGCTAATAAAATATTTAATTTTCAACCCGGTGCAGTAATATGAGCTTTGGTGTAATCATACGTGTGGAAAGTGAAGCATTTCAGGTACTTGCTCATAATGGTTGTATATTTAATTTCCCCTTGTGTACGATTCTTGTCTTATCTATGCGACTGTAAGCTAGGTGCTGAAGGGAGTTACGGATAGGCCTGAGGTTTCTACTGTGAAGTTGAGAGAGATCAAATGCAAGCTTGATAGGAAAACTAGTGTGCAAGATCGGTATAAGAACACAGTATCTGTAAAAGATGTTGTGAGGATCCTTGACGGCCCTTGCAGAGTGAGTTCTATATCTCTGGCTTGATTTACCTTCACAAGATTTAATGTCTCTATTGTTTCTTGTAAAGAAAAAGAACAAGATTTTGATAAAATTGATGTTATCTGATTATAGTTCTTGCATGCCAGGGAAAACAAGGTCCAGTAGAACACATATACAAGGGAGTTTTGTTTATCTACGATCGCCATCACTTTGAGCATGCAGGTTTTATTTGTGCAAAGTCCCAGTCATGTATGATTGTGGGAGGATCACGTGGCAGTGGAGATAGAAACGTAAGTTTGTTTTGTTCTTTTTTTTTTTTTTTGAAATGGTTTTGTTCTTGTTTTGAGGATTTAAATTCTTCATTTATTTTTAATTGTTCTTACACTTCATCTATCTAAATCTTATATATCATCAAGTATTAAATTATTTGGAGATTCTGGTCTAATGCTACATCTATCTAAATCTTATATATCAATTTTTTAGGGTGATTCATATGCCAGATTTTCCCATCTCAGAACTCCATCTCATGTTCCCCAATCCCCAAGACGAATTTCTAGGGGAGGGCCTCCAATTGACCGTGAGTTGCTGATTTGTGCAACCTCTTCCTTAAATATGACTGTTCAAGTAGTGGTCTCTGATCATTTAGGCTTATTTAACAATGTGTAAGTCACATTAAAGTTCCACTTGTATGGTTCAGATCGTGGAAGGGGTAGAGGTGGCAGAGGGCATGATGGCCCTACCGGTACTACAGTGAAAATTTGCAAGGGTCCCTTTAAGGGTTATCGCGGTCGTGTTAAAGAATTTAAGGGACAAACTGTTCGGATTGAATTGGAGTCTCAAATGAGGGAGGTTACAGGCAAGTCTACCTATTCATAGAAATATTTCCTTATTTCCTTATTTTGTCTTATGTTCTCATATGGTGCTTACATTTGGGTTGTTTCTGCAGTTGATCGTTCATGTATATCAGACAACTTAACTGTTACAACCCCGTATCGGTAATTTGTGATATTTGTCCACATATATTTAATTTCTTTTCTGCAACCTTTTTTTGTTAATATTTTCTAAAACTGATTTAGAACTTGTTATGAATATTTCAGTGATACCTCTAGATATGGTATGGGAAGCGAGACGCCCATGCATCCTTCTCGAACTCCTCTACATCCGTATATGACCCCCATGAGAGATTCTGGAGGTGTGTTTTCTCCAATCTTGTTATTTTTCATTCAGAAACTTTAAAATTTTGTACATGTTTTGATATCAGCGTCATTTTATGTCGGGAAATATATTATTTCCTCATCTTTTGCAACTCTTTCTGCAGCAACACCAATTCATGATGGCATGAGAACACCTATGAGAGATAGAGCTTGGAATCCTTATACACCAATGAGTCCACCAAGGTAATGTATCTGAATCTAATAGTTCTTTCTTTTTTGAAATGCTGTCTGCTGAATATTTGGCACTACAGATGACATGAACCAATTGTCGCCTTCATATTCATAGGCACAGAATGAATGGAATTGCATATATTTGGGCAACTCAGAAAGGGTCACTTTTGTGATTTCTTATTGGGTCAAGCTGGAACAAATTCCAGTTATTAATCTTTTTGTTGTTTGCTTGCTATTGTCAGATAACTTCTACTTATGGAGTTGAAAAGTAACTTTTATTTTTTTTGAAATTGTTTTAGAACTAGAAGTAGATGTTAGTGTCTAGTTACTGTCAAACTTCATTTAGGAATCCTAGACACATTCACAAATGAAAAAAGGAGCGAATAAAACAAATTAGAGGCATAGGCCTTTAAGGTTGGGAGGCTGTTATGTTTTAGGCCTCGTTCATTTCACCGATTTGAGTTTTAGGTTTCTACAGTAAAAAGTTCTCAGAAAATGTCGCATCTAACTTTTTTTGCTGCAGTGAAAAGCTCTCAGAAAATATCACATCTCAGCTCGAATTGAAAATTCGAATCTGTGAAGTGAACGAGGCCTTAGTTTGTTTCTCATCTTTCTTTCAAAAAAAAAAAAAAAAGAACTATGTCTTTATCATTAGCAAGCAAAACTGAACATATGATAAGTACTGGAGAGATGAAATCTAAGCACTTTAACAACTGTTTTTTTAATGCCTTGTATTTTGAGGCTATCAAAAAATCATGTGTGGATATTTGGATTGTATCAAATTTATATCTTTAGATTTCAAATTTGTTCGCAATTCTAACCCTTCCTCCAATTTTGACAGCAAAAAAGACGTAATGTCCTAAAAAAAGAATAAAAAAAATTAAAAGTTAAAAAATTCAAAAGCCATTTAGGCCTTTTTGATAGTCAAAATCAACCTTTGACCAAATAAAAGGCAAGAGTTTAGCATGAATTTGAATTGTGAAGGTATAAATTTGATACAGTTGAAAATATAAGATGATTTCTCAATGACCTCAAAATGCAGGAATAAAAATGAAAAAACCCTTAATGATCTTTGGAGCGACATAGGCTTATTACCGAATAATGCATACTTCTGCTAATGAATCAGCTCCATAGGTGTTCTAGCATTTTTTTTACCATGTCAGTAAGTTTTATTTTGTCAGATAAGTATTAGTCAGGATAATAGTGTGGGGTATAGTTTGTGCCCAAGACTGTTTGGTCTAGTAGTGGGAGCAGGGTTTGGGTGGATTGGGGCTTTGGAGAGAGGTTGTGGGTTCGCTCCCGCTTTGCATCAATGGGGTACAGGTCGTTGTTACTTTGTTACTAATGTTTCCTGGAATTCAGGGATAATTGGGAGGATGGGAACCCTGCTTCTTGGGGAACCAGTCCACAGTATCAGGTCAGTGATCTTTATATAATTTGACTGTGTGTAGACAAGTGTATTCCTGTTCTGTGATGCGTGAAGTTGATGTTTTTTGCTTTGTTTCTTTCCCAGCTGGGAAGTCCTCCTTCACGTCCATATGAAGCACCAACTCCTGGTTCAGGTTGGGCCAACACCCCTGGTGGCAACTATAGTGAAGCTGGAACGCCAAGGGATAATAGTTCTGCTTATGGTATGGTATTCTTAAATGTTATTATTACGAGAACATAACTCACTTTTGAGTGCACTTATTTGTATGCGTTTCTTTCTGAACCTCTGAGTTTCTTTGATCTGCCTCACTAGTGTCTAATGTTATGTCGCAGCCAATGCTCCAAGCCCATACCTGCCATCGACTCCTGGTGGGCAGCCTATGACTCCAAATTCAGCATCCTATCTTCCTGGGACTCCTGGAGGGCAGCCGATGACACCAGGCACTGGGGGTCTGGATTTTATGTCTCCTGTTACCGGTATGACTAGCAATCTAGTTTCCTTGGCTTCAGGTCATAGTGATTGATGGGACTGTTATTATTATTTTTTTCCCTATGACTCTTATTATTTATTTGTTATTGTGTGATCTGCATGTTATTGTATGATTTGCACCTCTTTAAAATTTATAATTAAAAAGAGTTAACATCATGCGTGGGAAAAAACTAGGACAGCATAATGGTATTCTTAAGTATATTGTTATTAGCCAGTAATATACTGTCCCTTAATTTTCAACCTTTATCTCATGTTGAAAAGGATCACGTACACACAATAATTTGTTAGGAGCTGTAAACCTTTTTATTAGGATCTAGTGCTTGCTGCAACAAGGCCTTTCATTTATTGAAAACTGAAAGCTGTATTGCCATTTGTTTCTGAATGGTTGTTTGCAAGTAATAGTTATCCATGGATAGCTTGGTATGATTTGTTGTTTTGATCTGCAGGCGGAGAAAATGATGGACCATGGTTTATACCAGACATATTGGTCAATATACGCAGGTCTGGAGAAGAATCTATTGGAGTCATCCGAGAGGTGCTCACGGTATGTTAAAACTTTCCTCGGGTTTCTCAGGATGCAGTTTAAATTCCTACTATTATGAGTCTGTTCTTGGGAAATGCTATGGGATCTCTTGGAGGTCTAAGACACAAAGGAATTCATAGGCGACAAAGCTGAATAGGAAATGGGTTGTGTGAGGGCAAGTACCTTTGGTTGCGATTTCAGCTGTGATTTTAGTAGTGGGATGGTCTCTTGTATGTATCCTAATAAATCAGTTTCGTTTCTTTGATAGGGAAATCAGCAGTTAAGTTTTAGTTTCTGGTAATCCATTTTATGAACCACCACTTTGACTGTTCCAGTGTTGCAGATCTTAAAGTGATCTTGATTTATGCATAAGAAAAATTGCTGTTTTTTTTTTGCCAGGATGGCTCTTGTAGGGTAGCTCTCGGGTCGAGTGGCAATGGCGAAATGATGGTGGTCCTGCCTAGTGAGGTGGAGGTTGTGGTGCCAAGGAAAAATGACAGAATCAAGATCATGGTTGGTGCACTGCGCGGTGCCACCGGCAAGCTGATCGGAGTAGATGGTACTGATGGAATTGTAAAGGTAGAAGACACTCTTGATGTTAAGATCTTGGACTTGGCTATTCTTGCAAAGCTAGCCTAACCATGATTCTAATAAAACAAAAATTCAGTGTATATTGTTATTATTTTCTTTTTGCAAATTATTTGGGGGATCCTCGTCGATTAGAAATGCTCCTTGCGTCATTTGGAATATTAGAAGGCAAATTCACTGCAAGGTTAAGGGCATGATATAGACAACGGGCAACGCTTATGATAACATGTGAGGAGCGATGTGCCTGCAACCTTAAAGCATGACATATAAGAGTTGCACACACTAACGAAGTTAACGAGACAAGTATCTCCCTTGTAGTTGTTATTAGCGTCGAGTGAGGTGGACGATTGGACATTTACAAAGGAAAACATCTGAAACAAAGACAAAATATTAGTGATAATTACACCTCACGCAAAATTTCCTATCTTGTGATAAAATTTAGTAAAATTTTCAAAATATTCTAAATATAATTATTGTAATGATATCATATTTTGTATTATATAATGAAATAATCATTATTTCAATAATATAACAATGATATGAAAATTTTCCCTTAACTAAATTTTATTTAATATTCAAATTTTGCTATGTGTGTAAATCATCCCCAGTTGGCCTGAGTTAAGGGTGGATTGGCTTAGCTAAGTTTGAAAGCCCGTTGGGTTCACGTGCTTTTTAAAAAATTGAACAAAATGATCGGGCTAGTTCGAATAAACTTTTAGGATACGTTTGGTTCACGATTAGAATTATAAGACCAGAATCATTTTTAATTTACGTGTATTTTTTGTGAGAAAAAATACTATAACGAACTATGAATCATGATTCGAATGGAAGTACGAATCTCCCAATCAAACAACCCCTAGTTTTAAAGCTTTAGCCTAATTAAGCTCAGCCCAGACAATTAAGTAGGTTGGGCTAGGCCACGATCAGGCCGAAAGTTATAAGCTATGATTCAGCCTAAACTTATGGCTCTATCCCTAGCTGAGATATGTATATATATCTACAAGAGGTTATCGTACCACCTACTTGATTTTCCTCACAAAGTCGATACTGAAGGAGTTTTTCTTATAGGTTATTCTTATGGTATTGTTAGTTTTCTGACTGTTGAATTAAAGTTAAAATCACGTCAGAATGTGAAGTATGTAGAACATGTAGTTTTTAATATAAACTGATAGTTGAAAATAGAGAATTGTCAATAAATTTTTTTTTTCTAGTCCTATTAGAGAAGCTCTTTGAAAGGAAATTTAGCCTATAAGTTTTCATTTTAAGTTTTTTTTGGAAAGAAATTTATATGAATACCAGAACATGATGCTTATTGCTTGGCAAATTAGTCATTCAACTAATAATTTAATCAATCTAGCTCATTAGTCCTTTAATTAAACATTTAAGTAGCCCACCCCTTGAACTTCAAACTTTGTTGTATAGCAAGTTCAATTGGCAATAATGTTAAAGTTTTGTATGGATTTTTTCACGCGGCTTGCATGTGAGCTCTTGATGGTAGGATCAGTCTTTTTTCGTCAAATTGATGCCATGTCCTTAAAAAGAATAGAAAGAAAAGAAAAACAATGGAAACCAATATTAATTAAAAAAAGAATCCACATCCTTAAAAGCTTCCTATCCAGAGATTTGCTGCCCCAAAGCCCACCCTCACACTCCTACCCCCGAAAGATCTCCATTTTACACCATCGCCAACCGCCAATGTCGTAGCTCCCTCCACCCTAGCCAATCATGAGTGATGGAGCCAGAAACTTCTTATTTCAGAGGGTTTAAATTAAAATTTTGAACTAAAATTATAATGCAGTAATTTTTTTACCTTCATTTATCTATTTTATTCTTTTTATTCTAAATGAATTAAGCTTAATTTTTTTTAGAATTAATTGACTATAATTTAATACTTAAAGTTTAAAGTCTAAAAACTTATAAATTTATATTCCGGTGATTTTTGGTTTATTTTAGGGGCTGTTTCCGTTGGACCGTTCTACCGGTAGATCAGTTTTCTGACCGTTAGATCTAGTCAAAATTAAATGAGATTAAAAAAATATGCAGAACAGACAGTTTCTGATGCATATCTAATGGCTGAAAACGGTTGAAAAAAATAGAACTACCGATAGTTCCATTTTTTATGGGAGAAACTCTCTTAGACTAAGTTTAAAATAAGAATATAATTAAAAATCAAACTTAAGGTATAATTGAAATTTTCTTTAAAAAATTATGGAGAAATGACAATAAAAATAATTTGAGTGGGACAAATAAGTAGAAAAATGTCACAAATTGAAATATTAGGGCCAAATTGTAAAAGAAGTTTTTGGGCCCAGTTGGGGCAGCTGCTCCGCCACTGCAGGCAATCATAACATGGCAATGGCTCCGTCTCGTAAATTAATATGTAAAATAAGAGGAGCCACCCGTCAAAAAAAAAAAAAAAAAAGTCAGAGGATCGCCAACCCAGACCATGTGGAGAGACTGGTGGGATCTCACTAAAACATCTTCAACTAAAAATCTCACCTCCTAACTACTTCACAATATCAACTATCACATCACAAAATTAATAATTCAGAAAATTGTAACAACTTATCGGCTAGATCATTAAGGGGATGTTTAGTTTGAGGATTTAAATCATGATTTGAATCATGATTCATAATTTGTTACAGTATTTTTTCTCATAAAAAATACACGTAAATCAAAATGGTTTTAATAACATGATTTTAATCCATGAACCAAACGTCTCCTAAATATATCTTTCTTAGGAAAAAGTATTATATAGTATATACCCCTCAAAAAAGAGTATATAAGATAACTCAGCCCAGGAAAAGTATTAGGACATACATAAGAAAAGGCAAGAGAGAAATTAGAAAAGAGAAGAGTAACAATATTACATCTTGAATCTAATTTTCTCTAATTGGTTCATTTGCAGAATTATTAATAATGGAACAATCGGACATCACCGAGCTGGATCATCACGAAGAACTAACAAGAGAAAATCACGGTGAGTTTGAAGAAGAAGAAAAGCTTCGAGATCTGCCCAAGATGAAAGGCTTGATGAGTACTGGTGAAAATCTCTTTCTTTATGAAGGATTTTGGATTCCAGAATTCTTGCTTAAGTCAGTTGTTTCCTTTCAGAAACACTTTGTTGCACGTGACACGGATCTCATATTGGCTTCTTCTCTTAAGTCAGGCACCACTTGGTTGATGGCTCTTGCCTTCTCTATTGTCAACCGCACGCGTTTTAAAACGCACACAAATAATTCTCCTTTGCTTGCGGCTAATCCACACGACATTGTAACACACTTGGAACTCAAATACATGGAATCCGAATCTCCAAACTTTGAGGACATGATTCCAAATTTTCCAAGGCTCTTTCACACCCACTTTGCTTATGAATTGCTTCCACCTTGTATTAAGAGTAGTTCTAGTGCTTGCAAGATTGTCTACATTTGTAGGAACCCAATGGACCTATTTGTTTCTCTTTGGCACTTTGTTCCCAAGTTTCGATCGAAAAACACGACGGCGCCATCGCCGCCGCACAATTTAGGAGAGTGTTTCGACATGTTTTGCCGTGGGATCCATGACCATGGCCCGTATTTTGACCATGTGTTAGGGTTTTGGAACGCAAGCTTAGAGAGTCCTCATAAAGTCTTGTTTTTGAGGTACGAAGATCTGAAAGAAGACTGTGTGTTTCACGTGAAACGGCTAGCAGAGTTCTTGGGCTTCCCTTTTTCTGAAGAGGAAGAGAAGCGAGGGGTTATAATGGAGATAATTGAATTATGCAGTTTTGGGAAAATGAAAAATTTGAACCCAAACACTTGTGGGACAAATTTTTCAGGGATACCAAATAGCGCCTTTTTCAGAAAAGGAGAGGTGGGTGATCGCAACAACCATCTAACACCTTCCATGATTGAATGCATGGAGAAGCTCGTTCAAGAGAAATTTAAAGAATCTCTTTTCAGATTCAAATAGGTTTTCAAGATTTAATTATACGCACAACTGTATTTATATTTCATGCATGTATTGCAACAATAACAACAACAACAACAACAACAGCAATAATAATAATAATAATAATCTCGTTATTATTGTTGTTGTTATCAATAGAAACCGGTGATCTCATGCTTGAGGCTCCCTGTCTCTTTGAACGATCATTCAAAGAGATTCTTAGAATTGTGATATTTTAATGCAATTTTTGTATTACATTTTCGATTTGAAATTTAATAAAGTCATGTTTTTTTTTTCATTACGTATTTATTTATTTATTTTTTGAATATATTAAACCCTTGATAATGTTGTATTAGTTTACAAGGTTTCATTTTCATAATCAAAAGCATGTTCACAACAATAAATAAAATGGGGACAATTTATTTATAAAAATTGTACAAGCTAAATGATTTGAGTAATCAATTGTAATTCGCTAATACTGAGTGGAGTTTAACAGATCATAAATAAGATTTAATATATTGATTATCTCAATCGAAATTTACGTGCCATAAGTACATTAATGTTCTCAATCCTATGATTACTATTAAAATCATATGCATGCTTAGATTTTACATTCAATAAGCACTTCAAAGTGCAAACTTACCAAATAGTTCAATAGCCTCTATAATTTGAAAATGTAGATCTTTGTATAGTGATTAATCAATACAACAACTTAGAATTTATTTGTGGCATACGTAAGATAGAGTTAATAATATCCCTTCAAGCTGTCACAGTAATTGATTGCTTAAATCTTTCGCCAAAGTATTCTCTTTAGGGAATCAACATATTTGATTATGTTAGGGTGATCAATAAAGTGAGGCATAAGGTTGAAGATTTAATTTAATTTAGTAATGGCTTTAATAAATGTCAGAAAACTTTAAAATTTGGTATTTTAATAGACAACAAAATACCAATAATACGATCTTTAATTTCTTTCTGTTAGTTTTTGTCATGGTGGTTTGTGTTCTCTAATCGCGACCTTGTTTGCAGAACAGAGATACATAGAGAGTGAGAGGAGGGCATAGAAAAAGAGGAAGAGGAGAGAAAGATAGAAAGAGAAAGAGGGAGAGAGAGGATTGGGAGTTTTTTAAGGTTTCAGAATTGATATTGGTTGTAATTAAAAGTAAGGTTAAAATGAGCAAAACAATAATTTTTTTTTCTTTCTTTTTTTAAGATTCTGCTATTTACTTAATAATTAAAATAAATATGCTATTTAATACCTCAAATTCTTGAATTATGTTATATATTATGGATTTTATCTTTTGTAACACCTTTTAAATTGGGTGGATTAGGTCTAGGTGCAATATGTAATCTCAGAGTCCAAATGATTAGATAATATATATATACATATTAAATGAGAAGGATATAAATTGAAAAAAAATAATCTTTAAAATTCAATTTTGATAATTTGTTTTAAATGAATTCGATTTGGATTTTTCTACACCATATTTTAATCTGCCTCTCTTCTTTGATCATCAAGTGCTCCTCGAACTCCCTTTGTTGTTCAAACAAAGGGACTTCGCCAGCTGAGAACATGGAGTTTGAAAGAGCATCCTCCCTTGGATAGAAAGTGCAAATCATGTGCCGGCCAGTGGAAAATTGATTTACGATATAAAATATATTAATTAATAAAAGAAGTCAATGTTATTTGGGAAGTTGATTGTTTGTGATTAGAATCCCGCGTGCGTTGGATATCATTAAATATGGAAGTTGACTATCTTCAAAAAGAATAAAAAATTCAATCAATCAGTTGGGAATGTTCAACAAGAATAAAAAATAAAAAAATAAAAATTAACATATTGGCTGGCACAAATATGGATCTTCAAAAAGTATTAAAAAATTTAACATATTGGCTGGCACAAAAAAAGTATAAAAAAATTTAACATATTGGCTGGCACAAATATGGCACGTTGCCGTGTTATCCATTCATAAATGAGGCCAGCTTCAATATGAATTTTTTTGATTAATATTATTCAATAATTTAAGTAAACCGGTTCTCTAATTATAATTTGTATTTATATAGATAGAGATGATTCGTAATTGCTGAATTCTCTTCCTTTTCCTAAATCTATTGACAAGTTTGTCTTCTCCGCTTCCTTATATTTTCTTATCAATAATTGTAATAAAGCAGCCTATACATAGTTTGTCTTTCCATTCATCTTCTCTTTTATCTTCATTTTTGTAACAACAAGGTATTTCGGTGACTTTTGCCGTGTTATATATAAAATGCTAATTCCTTTTTACTTCTTGGGAATATTGGCAACAATAGAAACACAATCATGCTTTTTTTCGTGCACAAAGCTTAAGATTTAAGCCAGGCTTCTTTTGACTCAACGAAAAAGTAAAGAGAACTTTTGTGGATGATTGCTTAAAGAGTTAAAAAAAAAAAAAATAAAAAGAGAGATTTTATGATAGGGTTGAAAAAAATAAACTATCGGTATTTTTATTTTTCAGCTAGATTTACATTAGAAATTGTGTGCATACTGATTTAATTTAATGTGATTTGATTTGATTAAACAATTAAAAATTAATAGTACCGATAAGGAGATTTACGAGAAAAAATCTTAAAAAAAAAAAAAATAATAAAATATCGACAGTAAAAAGGGCATGACTTTGCCTGATATCTTTTCCTTTTTTTCCCAAGCCAAAAATGCTTTGGCCGACTAACGACAGCTTTACCCACCCTCAACAAGAAAATTGAGTTCCCTTGCCCTACCTTAATCATAACCCATCATACTCTCTATTTTCTTTCGGCCACCACTAATCTATTATATGTACTAGCTAGTTAGGAGAACAACATGTTAAATGAATGTCGCCTTCTAATTTTTAATTTTCCCGTACCGTTGATCTATAGCTATTAAAATGCCATACTTTGTCTAGATTAATATAAATTAGACATATATAACACGGGTCCAGTCAGCCGATGAGGAAGTACGGCGTGGAAAAAATTTATATCATATGAGGGGGAAATTAACTTTTCCATTGAGAACTTCGATCTAGGTAGCAGCTTCTATATATATATATATATATATATATATATATATATCCCTTGTGATTTCTTCATAGGCCTAGAAATATATAATAGAGGAGCGTCACGGGTAAAGAGACTAACATGCCAAAGATAACCCTGCAAAACAAGATCAAGTATGTTAGTCTCCGGTTGTCGTAGAAGAAAAATGACATTTATTCTTATGGGGATAAAATCTCATCACTTATAAAACGGTGGGTCTGCTTAGATTGAGGGAATATTTGGTTGGAGGTTTCAAACCATGATTTAAATCATGGTTCATGGTTCGTTACAGTATTTTTTCTTACAAAAAATACATGTAAATCGAAAATGATTCTAGTCACATAATTTTAATCCATGAACCAAACGTCTCAATCTTACCTACCTATTTAATGAAATTCATTTTATATAAATAGTAGGGTTTTATTCTCATGAGAAATGAGCAGTGGTGCTCGTTGTAGAATCATGTGTTGGAAACTGACTGAAAAGAACAATGTTGAACGAAAAGGAACACTTGTAAAGGGAAAATGAGTTTTCACATTCGACTTTTGAAGCATGACATTCTCTGTCCCAAAAAATTAAATAAATAAATAAAGAATCATGAGTGGCTTACTGTTTTCTCCTACAGTATAAACTCAGTTATTGGTGGGGAACGTGAAAAGTTTAATTTACTTTTCAAACACTGTAGAAGAAAACGCTTCCTTGTTTGCTCTGACGCAATTATATATAACTGGTCTGCTATAGCTCTAGGGTAGGTGCAAAAATGAACTATTATGTTGTTCATATGGTACCACTTCCCACAAAATAATGATGAAAGTGATGTTAATTCTGGGTGATTAATTTTGGTGGAATTCATTACATTACTATTTGGGTGTAACAGTAAATCGAAATCGTTAGATTCTATTTATTTAATCATATTAAACAAAAACCATGAACATATCAAATTATTTTATTCTTTTTTTTTTGGTTAATTTTGATTCTTTATTACGTATTTTTTTTTAAAGAGCAAAAACTATGGTTGGTTGACAATATGGTAAAATCACAAATGTTAGGACCGGTAATTTCAAACACGACACAATGAATGATACGAGATAAATGAATTTGGACTGCACAATTATTAATTAAGTCATTAACAAGTTGACACGAATAGCATGAAAATAAATGAGTTAAATTCGTATAAGTCTATTTAACACGCTTAACCTGTTTAGTTATACGGGCCTTTATCGGGCCGACACGACACGGCCTGCCCGTGTCGTGTGTGTAGGGGTAGGACAGACATACCAAGGTTATTGAAGGGGTAGGACAGACATACCAATATCACAACTAGAGTTAAGTCGAGACCAACATCAGGGTCGATCATATGGGCCTAACTCAGCGTGGCCCGACAATGTCCATTCGGGCAGGGATAACTACTAGAGTCGGGAAAATTGCTTTCTATAATAGTTCTTATAATTCTGTAGAGAACTGTTGATTAATTATAGGAATTTTCGTGGTCAGTTTTGTTAGTTTTTAATAAAAAATAAAAATAAAAAAATTTTCAGGATAGTTAGGGCTGTTTGATATTTTAGAGATGACTCAAATTGAACTAAACCACTTATTACTAATTTGGACGATTTGGTTTTTGTCGGCTTAGACTTAGGCTTAGCCTTAATGGCGTGTTTATTTACTAAGATTGGAGAATTAGAATAGAGAATGGAAGTCAATCCTATAATTACTTACTTTTTTATCCTATAATGCAAGTGAGATTGGTGGGTCTCACTCAAATTTGGAATTGAGAAAGGTGATCGGCAATATCATGCCTCCTCCATATTGGGACTCCCAATCCTGATAATAATATTAAATTATTATCTTAACCCTAATTAATTTATAAATATAAAATTAGAAATAAAATACAAAAAAAATAGTTACAACCTATATTTATTATCTTATTTACCTTAACATTATAATATTAGCTAGCTTAATTGTTATTAACTTTAATATAATAAAATGTCTTTATTTTTTATTAAAAGTAATTATATATTTTAATTTTTAACGTGTCATTTTTATTTTTAATAATTTTATTCAAATTTTGACCATTTATTTTTGCATTTCAAACATTTATGCAAAATTTATATTTGTTATTTTATTACCCTGTTATTATAATAAATATGTTAATTAATGATTACTATTAATTTAATAAGTACATAGTTTATTTTTAAATTAAAAATACAAAATTTACTTAAAGGTTATGTTAGTACTTTTACAACAATTCAATCTGATACTAGGTGTAAATAAACGCATAAATAAAATTTAGAGTGATTCTGATTTCAAATCCTATAAACAAGTAAATAATTTATTCTAACTCCGATTTCTCACTTCGAATCCTACTAATTCCGAATCATGTCCATTCCAATTCACGCTCATTCTGATTATACGTGAGTAAGCATGCCATAAAAGTTTTTTATCATTGAAAAACACAAAAAAAAATTTCTTACGATTTCAAAGTTTTCCATTTAATTCTAACATAACACCACCCAAATATTATAAAATTTTTCATCCCTAAACATAATATCAAATATTATCTAGTATTGTTCGGTACACTTTTCTATTTCAAAACTTACCACGATAATTAATAAAAATCATGTTATGAGTATTTATTAAAAATTGTTAATAGCTCTGTTAGTTCTTAAACTTTAAGCATTGTGACATTTTAATCCATGAATGTCACACTGCTCAAAGTTAGGAACTAATAGAGCTATTAACTCTATTAAAAAAGGGGTGCTTTTTACACTGACACGCCCGGATCTTTTCAAAATAACAAAAACACCCTTGATCATGCATGTGACCGAGGGCTGTGCCAAATATTAAAATCAATCAAAGGCATAAAATTAATTTCAAGCTTACCCTGTGCTTAATATGTCAGGATGTAAGCCGTATTCCCTTGCAAAAACAAATGGTACAATTCCTTGAGGAAGAGCTGCCTGATGATCAAATAAACATGCTACATTAATTATAATTTCAAATCTTATATACTGAGAAAGAATGTTTTCAAGAAGAAAAATAATTATAAACAAATAAAATACGCACTATATGTTACACTTTGCAATGAGTACACACACACACACACTTGCCACATTTCTACGTACACACAAATGTAGAAATAGGCATCTATCTATGCATAAATATATGCATGTTTCTATATGTGCATAACCAAAAAAATACGCACGACCATGAAGTAGACGACTTGTCCTTTGTAAAATACGTATACATTCATGTGTGGATAATTGGCATGAGCATTGTATTACTTTGGTTACTTTCTTTCTTTCTTTCTTTTTTCTTTTTCTTTTTTTGTAAGTATATTCTTACTCACTTCACTGTTGTTAAAAAGACTTGAAAACTATAATATTTTACTTCAAATATAACTATTTCAGTAAAAATTTAAGCTATATGATTGCAATCTGATTATTTGTGTGAAATTTGAAAATTACATCATTAATCATTTTAGTATATCAAACACCGAAATTATCAAAGGAAAAAAAAATCAAAGCTTATGGAGTAATCTGTCAAAAAATAGGTTTGGAGTCAAAGTGATGCACTTATACTCCTTCACGTATGCATACGTATGCATGCACAGTACATATATAGGTGTGTGTATCCATAATTTTTTTTTTGGTACTATTTGTACATACGTGTGTTTCTATATATATATATGTGTGTGTGTGTGTGTGTGTATATATGTCTGTATATGTGCCATGTGTATTACACGTATGTATGCATGTATAAATACGCATCAAAGTACCTGCACGATGGCGGCATGTAGTTTTACACCTCTCAGTCCAACAAGGATCGATGCAGCCGACATAATTATGGGCCCACAAAGGAAGCGGATCACCATCCCCATTGTTGCTCTTTGGGCGCCACAGGAAATAATCCGAGGCTGAAGAGCCATGAAAAGCCCTGCATGATTTAATTATATATCAAACACCTAATTTATATGGTGGCTAATATTTTCTGATTTATTATTTGTCACGTCGTAAAAATAATAAAAAGAACCATATTCTTTCTTTGACATAGACCAACATGTATTTAATTATTAAGGCCATGTTATTGTTGATCACTGGAAATGCATTATTATTGTCTTTTCTTTTCTTTTTCTTTTTCTTTTTTATGAATAACTAAAGAGACTAATTAACATCAAGAAATCTCAGAACACTCCAACATACACTATCATTCATGATTATGATGGCTTTATGTTTTGAAAGAGGTATATTAATATATGCTAAAAATTGGCAAAAAGCGGAACAATATACTTGAAATGACTTGATTAATTAGAGAAATTATACCTAAACTAAACATGGCCATCCCAAGACCCGCATCTGAAATGATTTTTATAGAGTACTTGACCAAACTAGGCATCCCAACGTTCCATCTGCAAAAGTAGAAAAAGATTAATGCATCATGATGAATAGCAATCTAATGTCTTTGCATAATATATACCTAATGCTGGTTATTGCTATGTAGTAATTATATATATGTACGAGTTTTTAATAGCTATGTTTTCATAGTAGTTATTTATTAAATATAAAAATTTAATGATGTGCCATGATAAAAATCTAATTTTATTAGTTGTCATAATTTTTTTTAGTCAACTACTTAATTTATTATAATATTAGATCAATGTCTTACGGTTAAAACAACATTAATACCAACCAATGTATAAATATTAGAGTAATCATTAAAATCATACCTATATATATATATATATATATACCAATATAGCTTACTTGAATGAGATTAAAGACCAAAGTAGGCCTAAGACGCTTGAGTATGTATTTGGGTTGCGTGAGAGCTTTCGTCCAACCACAATGAGTATAAGCCTGAGCATGACAAGGGCATTTGGCATTTCTTGACTTTCTGCTGCCATCTTCGGATTCTCTTCTTCTGCCATTGGCATCTTAAAGTTGTCTCTAAAGCTAATGTCCTTCTCTAACATATATATTTTAGATAATATGTCAGTATTAGTTCTACATAATGTACATACACAAAGTGTAATTATAATAATAATAACAAAAACAATTTCGTCTAATCCATATATTGAGTTCCATATGATTAACCTATATTATACCATCTTTAATGTAAATGACAGTATAAATATTATATTTAATACCAAAAAAAAAATGCGAATAACACATTTGATCATAGGCTATTCTATTGCAATCCTAAGATTATACTATCTCAAATGTTATATCTATTTTTATCATAATTATTAGGCAATGATATTTATAAAAATAAACTTTTTAATTTACAATAAAGGTTATTATTAGTTTTGTTAGTCACTGCACTATATATAGTCATTCTCTCCTAGAACTTTTAATTTTATCATATTATACTTATTGAATTTTTTATTTTTTTGGCAATTTTGATTCCTAACATTGAAAATAGTGAAGGATTTATGAAATATAATATAAATAATCACGTTTCAATTACTCGATAGCATGAAAGGTTACAAAAATAGATACAATATATGCAAAATGTCTTCTATTTAAAAAAAAAAAAAACACTGAGAATTGGAATATTTTGTAATTAATGTAACGATTTCTTTAAAATTTTTAGCTAGTATATGATAGGGATGTCATGAAGAACCTGAAAAAACTCAAAAATTTAGGGATTAATCAACAAAAGATTAAACTCTAGAGACCAAACTGAGAGAATGCATACTTCATAGACTGATAATGCTAATAACACTTCATATAGTTTAAAAATGATAATGTTGTGATGATTAAATGAAAAACTCATTACACCAACCGAATGTACTATACTTGATGATAAATTTTGACACTAAATAGAATATATGTTAAATTTAACATTAAAAATTATACTATATTTGTTTTGCTACACAAATAATATAATATTATGTTGACACACTAATTTAACATTGTGTCGGAGATGCTTCTACATTATCAATACAACTACTACATTGTACCATTAATTCTAGAGAGCACTATATATGTGCGACACTTAAATTATAGGTGCAAAGTAGTACCAATTAAAAAAGAGCATTTTTATTTTTATTTTTATTTTTATTGGAGCAATAGTAGTGTTAGAATTTGGAGAACGAATATTTTGATGATGATAGACCATGATTTGGAATTATCATTTCTGGGCTTCTTTACCATGACTACCTATAATGTAATCAAATAGCCTTCTCTATCATTACACACGTGCTCTCAACAAAATGATGGCACATATCAATGAAGGGTCTGACTTATATAGCCAAAATGTGCGGAAAGAGAAGAAACAATATCATGAGCTTATTTGTCTTGACCACTATGATTTGTTTGTTTATTTATGTGTATGATTTTCTGCTTTTCTTGAGTGGTGTTGAGGGCCCACCTATATGTTTTTCCGCGGTAAGTCCACCTACATGTGTCAATTATTTTTATTATTTTTTTATTAATCATACAGTGGGGCTTCAGGGAATGAAACAAATAAAACAAAAGTCAAAAGATAATTTACGCATAAATTCAAGGATTCAAAAGAAGGGTCTTTTCTTGTCGAAGTGTTCATTCTATGATCAACGTTGCCTACCCCGTATTTAGCCCCCCCCAAAAAAAGAACCGTTACCTACCCCGTCTTGTGCTGTCTATAGTAGAATTTTTGGACATCCCAAAAAAAAACCGTTACCTACCCCGTCTTGTGCTGTCTATAGTAGAATTTTTGGACATTCAATTAAGTTGTTTATAATTTTAGGCATATGTCGTTTTATGAAACAAAAAAAAAAAGAAAAAAAAAAAGTACCGGCATATGTTATAAACTCAATTGATGGGTAAAAACTTGGTGTATTCCCCCTTGTGAATAATATTATGATTATAAATAATCCACTTTGTAGGAGAATCCTACAAACTCAATGGTGTAGATGGATTTTTAAAATTAACACTGCTGGTGTGAATTTTATTTGGATATATATATATTGGTCGTATCTATTTTAATAAACGGAAGTGAAGGTCAACTTATAACATCGATCCGCTTTAATTAATTAGCACATCCTAATTAACTTGACACATATTTAAAAAGCAAATCCTCCATTAAGAATGTCACTCCAAGACTCTGGAAATAATTAATAGAAAACACAATAATATTTAGGTAATAAGCAAATATATACACACACAAACATATGTGTGTAATGTAAATGACAAATGCTTATGTTTATAGTATAGTTGAGAATGCCTTTCCAAAAAATATAATAAACTTTCATCACTAATGGTCTGTTTGGTTTATAAATTTAACAAAAATTTAAATTTTGTAAAAGAAAAAAAAACTAGTGTAATAAAAAGATTTAAATATTAATTCAAACTTATAAAACAAATGGAGACTAAATGTTGAATGACAACTTATCATGTGGGAGATTGATTAGTAATCTAAATTTGTGATAACGAAAAGGTATCATGTAGTGGAAATAACGCTAGGAAATTATAGGCATCGTTCATTTCATCGATTCGAATTTTTAGTTTTAGATTTTTACAGTAAAAAGCTCTCAGAAAATGTTACATCTAATAATTTCTGTTACAGTGTAAAATTTTTAAAAAATGTCACATCTCAACTCGAATTGAAAACTCAAATTCACGAAGTGAACGAGGCCATAGTATCAATAATTTGAAAT